CCTTAGGTGTATGTAGCTGGAGTCTTAGCCACTTGAGCCAAAGGCATCAAGCCTTCATCTGTCTTTTTATAGGACACTGTGTTTCTCCTAGATGAAGTATGGTGAGGTTTCTTCATACTTTATACCTTTTTACTTATATTTGAGACTGCTCAGTCATTTTCATTGTGTTTGGTACCTTCATTTTTCTGATTTTACTTAGTTATCTGTATCATTCCTATTTGATGTGTTTAGCATAATTGAGATAAAGTTTTCCGGTAATTTAGACATCTCTATTTTTTATGGTTAATTCAAGTTTTTTTTTTTTCTTTTTTTGGTTCTTTGGGTTATGTCCTCCTAATATTTTGTATATGTTATAAGCTTTCTTTGATTTCTGAGGATTAGAAAAGCCACCTTTCACAAACTTAGTGATATGGCTGTATCCTGTAAGACTGTGACACACATTGTATTAAGAAAGGGAGAACTGTATACTTGGACAGTGTTTTGCCTGCAGAAATGATTGGTTATTTTTTAGTGGAAGCATTTTTTCACATACCCTCCTAAGACTTTCTCATCACTTGCTAGACCTTAATTTGCCTGTTACTTTGGAGTCTCTCTGCTGCTATAATAATATTTTGCCTTTGAATTCAGCACCCCCAGTCTGTCTTACAAACTATAGCACCCTTCCTTTCAGTACTCTCACTGATGGGAGACAGCAACCTTTCTTTGGAAACACTCTCAAAAGCAAGGAGGATTAACACATGTGTTACTCTTTTCCTTTTGAGGACAAAGCTGGGATTTAGAAGATTACTTGCGTTTTCACCATTCTCAATTAAGATAACATAAATTCTGTGGTGGGGGTAAATATGACAAACTCCGTATTGTTCTCCTTGGCTCTTTCATTATTATTATTATTGATGATCTTTTATTTTAGAAATATATTTGTGTATATGCCTATACACACTGTATGAATATATGTGTGTATGTATGTATCTATTTATTTATTAATTTATTTCAGACTAAGTAACTGTCACCCTGGGAAGAGTGCTGCGTTGTCTAAGCTCACAGCATCCTCAATCTTTGGGGCACAAGAGATCTTCTTACTTCAGCCTCATGACTTGCTGGGACTAGAGGCATTGCCACCATGCTGGACTAATTTTTCTACTTGTGGTAGCCTTGGGGGAGGGGGTGATCAGTATTTTTTTTTCTTTTTGAGACAGAGTCTCAAGCTGTCACCCTGGGTAGAGTGCCTATGCATCACAGGTTACAGCAACCTCCAAATCTTGGCCTTAAGGGACAGCCAGGAGTAGCTGGGATTACATTCGCCCACCTCAACACCCAGCTAGGTTTTGGTTGTTATTGTTGTTTGACAGGCTGGGGCTATATTTGAACCTTACATCTCCATTGTATGTGGCTGGCACCTTAGTCGCTTAAGCTACAGGCACCAATCCAGATGGGGTCTCACTATTGCTCAAGTTGATCTCAAACACCTGTGCTCAAGTGATCCATTCACCTCAGTGTCCCTGAGTTCTAGGATTAGATACGTGATCCAATTCTCTGCCTCTCCATTATCTCTACAACTTCTGCTTACCTGTTGTGCTACATATTCTTACCAGGTTTTCGGAATTCCCCAAAATGCAGTGTATACATGCAACATTTATTTATCTTTAAGATAATTGGTGCCTCTCTACTGTATTATGGCATCTTCCTAATGTTCTTAACATGATTTTCCAGATAAAATGTGTAATGTATACTTACTGGATGCTGAGAAAAAGCAAGTGGCTAAAATTGTTATTGTTTAAATTTCTTTCAGCTCTATCTAATCATTCTACCCAAGACCATTGGCAAGAGCTGGGCACAAATATGTTATTTCCAGAGATGATCCTGAGCAGATATGAAACCTGTGGCCCTGAAAATTTAAACTTTACCAAAGACTGGGAAGGTGTGTATGAGTGTAAGCAGCAGAAAGTATGTTACAGTGGACTTGATGAATGTGTAACACCTACCCATGGCAAAGTCTTCCAATGCAGGAAATGTTTGAATGGCTTTAGACAGTTGTCAAATGTAAATAGGCATAAGATGATGCATACCTTAGAGAAAACTTTTAAATGTAAAAAGCACGGGAAATCCTCTAAGCTCTGCTCACACATCACAGAACATAAGATAACAAATACTAGAGAAAAACAACACAAATGCAAAGAAGGTAGCCAAGTCTTCCAATCTCGCACAAGACCCCATCCTGGAGAGAAACTCAACAAGTATGAAAATGATGGCAAATGTCTTAGCCACAGATCAAAGTATTGTAACCATAAGATTTTGAATACTGGAGAAAATCCCTACAAATATAAGGAATGTGACAAACTTACCAAGCAGTACTCACACATTTATGGCCATAAAAGAATTCATTCCGGAGAGAAACACTACAAATGTCAAGACTGTGACAAAGCCTTTGTAACTTACTCTAGACTTTCTGTACATAAAGTGCTTCATTCTGGTGGAAGATCATACCAATGTGAAGAACATGGCAAAGCCTTTATCAGGCACTCACTCCTCTCTAAACATCAAAGAATTCATTTGGGAGAGAAACATTACAAATATCAAGAGTGTGTCAAAGCCTTTAACCAGTACTCAAGCCACTCTGTACATCAAAGAATTCACTCTGGAGAGAAACCTTATAAATGTCAAGAATGTGGCAAAGCCTTTAACCGCCACTCAGGCCTTTCGGCACATCAAAGAATTCACTCTGGAGAGAAACATCACAAATGTCAAGAATGTGGCAAAGCCTTCACCCACCACTCAGGTCTTTTTATGCATCAAAGAATTCACTCTGGAGAGAAATATTACAAATGTCAAGAATGTGGCAAAGCCTTTATCCAGCACTCAAGCCTTTCTGAACATCAAAGAATTCACTCTGGAGAGAAACCCTACAAATGTCAACAATGTGGGAAAGCCTTTACCCAGCATTCAGGCCTTTCTGTACATCTAAGAATTCACTCTGGAGAGAAACCTTACAAATGTCAACAGTGTGATAAAACCTTTAACTGGTCTTATAGCCTTTCTGAACATGAAAGAATTCACTCTGGAGAGAAACCTTACAAATGTCAAGAATGTGGAAAAGCGTTTAACCGGCACTCACACCTTTCTAGACATCAAAGAATTCACTCTGGAGAGAAACCCTACAAATGTCAAGAATGTGGCAAAGCCTTTAACTGTCACTCACACCTTTCTAGACATCAAACAATTCACTCTGGAGAGAAACCTTACAAATGTCAAGAATGTGGCAGAGCCTTTACCCAGCACTCAGGCCTTTCTAGACATAAAAGCATTCACTCTGGAGAGAAACCATACAAATGTCAAGAATGTGGGAAAGCCTTTAACTGGCACTCAGACCTTTCTGTACATCTAAGAATTCACTCTGGAGAGAAACCTTACAGATGTCAAGAATGTGG